ACACTGCTGGACCTCCTGATGGCCCCTGGTATTTTTGGCCACTGTGTGACACAGAGTGTTGGGCTGGATGGGCCACTGGCCTGATCCAACATGGGCTTCTCTTGTGTTCTTATAAGAGGGAATTGGATGAGCATATGGAGCAGAGGTCCATCAGTGGCTATTAGCCACAAGGGATAGATAGGAACTCTCAGTCTGGGGCAAGTGATGCTTTGCGTTCTTGGTGCCTGGGGGGGGGGGCAAGAGTGGGAGGGCTTCTAATGTCCTGACCCCACTGCTGGATCCTCCTGAGGGCACCTGGCATTTCTGGCCCCTGTGTGACAGACAGAGTGTTGGACTGGATGGGCCACTGGCCTGATCCAACACTGGCTTCTCTTATGTTCTTATAAGAGGGAATTGGATCAGCATATGGAGCAAGCAGAGGTCCATCAGCTGCTATTAGCCACAAGGTCTAGATAGGAACTCTCAGGCTGGGGCAAGGGATGCTGTGTATTCATGGTGCTTGGGGGGGGCAACAGTGGGGGGGCTTCTGGTGTCCTCCTGGCCCCACTGCTGGACCTCCTGAGGGCCCCTGGTATTTCTGGACACAGTGTTGGACTGCATGGGCCACTGGCCTGATCCCGCATGGGCTTCTCTCTTGTGTTCTTATGTGTTCCAACCCTTTTATCAGTCTAGTTGCCCTTTTGGGGGCCGTCTCAAGTCCTGACAGGGGGCGTTTGTGCAGACCGGGGCCCCCTTTCATCTATGAGGACTGGTCCTGTTCCCTCTTCTTGAGATAAGCGCCTGGGAGAGCCAGACTCAGAGGAAGCACGTTTGGGTCTTCTTGGGGCAGCCCCTCCCCCTCACCACCTGAAGGCCCCGGGGGGCGTGGTTGGGGTCAAAGGGAAAGACTCCCCTTGGAGAAGGCAGGGGGGAGGGTGCAGAGATAGGGAAGGCTCCACAGGGTTGGCCGTCCTTTGGCAAGGCAGCGGACAGGTGCTGTTGGTCCTCGTCCCGGAGTTTTGACCACCTCCGAACTTGGCCAGGCTGTGAGTCACCGTCTCCCTGTCTCCCTCCCGTCCAGGTGAAACTCTCCTGTGGCAAGGAGACGTTGGTCACGACCACCACCGAGCCCAGCCGTTGCGAATACCTGATGGAGTTCGTCACCCCAGCCGCCTGCCACGAGCCCAAGGAGGTCATCCACGACGAATTCTGAGGCGGGTGAGTTCTCTCCTGCGAGCGAGCGAGCCCCCCCCCTGCTGCTTGCTCCAGGGGAGGGTGGGAAAGGTGGTGGGGCGGAGCGGCCAGCCCCAGAGGTGCCTCCAGGAGGACCGGAGAAGGGAGAGCAGTTCGTTTATTTATTTGTTAGGTTTTTATCCGGCCCTCCCGGCTCAGGGTGGCTCACACACAGAGTAACATTTCAATAATACAATAAGATAAAATCACATCAGTTAATACAAATGAAGACACACAAAAACTTAAAGTGCTAGTAGACATTTCCTCATTTTCTGGCCAGCTCCGAGGTCTTCTTCAGCTGCCTCAGGCGATTGGCCCAGGCAGTACCTCGGGCCCAGTGGGTCAGGGGTCCACCATCATAGATGTCAATTGTTGTTGTTGGTGGTGGTAATGGTGGTGGAGGTAGTAGTGGCGGCGGCTCCAAAGGTCTGGCGGAAGAGCTCCGTCTCGCAGGCCCTGCGGAACTGCAAAAGGTCCCGCAGGGCCCTGGTCTCTTCTGGGAGCTCGTTCCACCAGAGTGGAGCCGCCACCGAGAAAGCCCTGGCCCTGGTTGTCACTAGTCTGGCCTCCTTGATGCTTGGGAGAGGCAGCCGATTCTGGGCCCCTGGCCGCAGCGTCCCCTGGGGTACACATGGGGAAAGGTGGTCCCTCGGGCATGCAGGTCCCTGGCCATAAAGGGCATTAAAGGTAAGAACCAGCACCTTGCAGCGAACCCGGTCTGCTGTAGGCGGCCAGTGCAGCGTCTTTCGCACAGGTCAGGTGTCCTCCCGAATTGGGATTCTTCTGGTCACCTGCCATAGGAGGGGGAGGGGGTGTATAAAGAGCACTGCTGTTGTGAGGTGAAACAGGCAGAGAAGAGGCTTTGATCTGGGGAAGAGAGACCCCCCCACACACCTCGTTTGGGGGAGGGGATGGGTGGGCAGGGAAGACTCAGGCCCCGGTCTGGAGGCTGCGGGAGGTCCGGCGGGGGTGAGGGTGGCTCCACTTCCAGGCCTGTGGCTGATGGTCCCACTGGCCCTTCCTTCTCCTCCAGATCGACGCAGGAGCCGCCGTTGACTCAGAGGCCGAGCTCTCGTCCACCTCCTTGCCGGGAGCGTCAGAGGGCCACCGGCGCCCTCACTGTCCCAGGGTCCCCCCCTCCACGGGGATCCCGCAGTCTCCTCTCCGTGGTCAGCAACACTCTCTCTCTCCAAACGGACCCACGGCCGTCTTTTGTCCTGTCAGGTCCTGGGACTTGTGTTTGTTTTACCTCGCCCCCCTCCCCCGTGCCACCAGAGCTCCTGGGCACAGCTGGCCCGGATCCTGCGCTGCAGATGGGACCACCCAGTCGCCTGGGCCTTTTGTTTCCGTCCTTGTCTTTCCTTTTGGGGGAGGAGGGGTGTGGAGACTGCTGGGACCCCTGCTCTGTCCGGGGGGGGGGGCTTCCGCCCACTGCCCTGGTTCTGAGCCACATTGCCACTGGGGGGTGGCCGCTGCCGGCACTCCCCACCCCCATCCCCGGTTCTTCTCCACTCTGTGGTGTTGTTCGGGATGGATCGAGACATTCCCTTCCAATAAAGAGGCGTTGCTCCTGTCTGGTCTGCCTGTTTCTCTGGCCTCCAAGGAGGTGGGGGGGGGGTTGTTGCACTTGAAGGGCTTCTGCAAGGCTGGGGGGGCCGGGGGCGGACACACACACACACACACACGCCACATGGCGGTTGACCCTGATAAAAAAGGGGGGGGGAGGGGGCGGCTGGTGCCTTTCACCTGCTCCCCTTGACTGGCCATCAAATGCCAGCCATTTCCATGACAAAAGCCAAGCATGGCTCCTTCATTCACACCACCCCATCCCCACCCCCCTCGTTTTCCATCTGAGCCCCACTCCCTACACAGGGGTGGTGACAAAAGACGACCATTTGGGGCGGGGAGATGTGGGTAGGCTCCGGAAGCAGGCGGTGGAGAGGAGGGGTCCAGCCTGTCCCCTGGGCGGCGGCGGCGGTCTCCTTGGGTGTGCCGCTGTGCTGTGCTGTGCTGAGGGGGGGGGCCGCCTCCTTCCCATCAAGGCAGGGGACTGCCTTCTGGGGGGGGGGCGGTTTAG